TGAACAACGTAACTTTGTAACACCTCATTGCACTGAGAAAGTTAATGAGGTGACATCTTCCAACAAGGACTTAGAGATTCCTTGTTGATAAAGACTTGGTTAGGTAGTCAGCCGAACTTGGGGTAGAGCTGTTTCTACAAAGTGAGCTCCTCGCTTGACTCTATGACCCTATAGCTGTTTTTACAAACTGAGAGATGTTGTCGGTTGTCAATCACATAGTTGTTTATACAAACTGAGAGATATGCTTGACGAAGTTAGGAAGGTTAGTTGCTTTCTCAAAAAATAAGAGGGTTTCGGAGAGCAATAAATTGGCAGATTTGTGTATTGATTTGAAGAGGCTTTGAGTGTTGCAGATCCTCTTCTATTTATAAGAGTGATTTTCACCTAATGCCACAGTAGAGTCCCACTCGGACTATATTTCCTTGGTATTAATCCATTCAAATCTCTGCATAGAGCTCAGCCACTCCTTGTCTTAGGACTTGGAACCTAGTCCCTTCTTCATCTCTTATTCGTTCTAATCCTGATCAGCCACGAATATTAATCCTTGGAATATTCCTAATTTAATCAATATTTGCCCTGATGTTTGACATTTCTATTCAATCTAGGATTCAATCGAATCCAACCCTTGTTTCCAGAGGGCCATACTAAGATTAGGATTCGGCTCACTTTCTTTGGGCTGGACTTATCTCAAAGAAATCTAACGTATTGAAGGTTTCTGTTCTGGGTTGAGACCCAAGTTATCCTTAGTCCAGGCCCAATATTTTGGGCCCAAACAGACACTTTCTTATAATTATTCAAGATGATTCAATGGATAATCATCATCGGACCTCTGACACACTTTCTTGTAGTTCCATTATGTATATTTTTTTAAGAATCCGAACAATTTATATTTCAATTCATCTATCTTAGATTATCCTTGCAAAACATTGGATAAATCTAAAATCACTTAAACAATCATTTGTAGTGAAAAAACGGACAAATACGATTTTATCAAAAAATATTAAAATGACTATCAGTTAACACAATAGTCATATGGTTTTTAATTTGTGTAAATTTTTGGTTGAGATTATTTTTTATGAAAGAACTAAAAGATAGACAGTTAAATTGTTAAAATACATCATAGAGCGATTACTAAGAAAGTGTGTCAAAATGTGTCCCACAATCTTGATCTCATAATTGACAATTTACACTTTGGTTGACAAGCAAGTGTTTTCTTAATAATAAGCAAAATTTGGTAGGTTATTACAAAAATATTGTATTCAAAAAGAATTTTAATACCTTTATGTGAGAGATAAGGACGGATCCAATTTTGGCGAAATTTGTACAAAAAGAGATGGACAAGTTGATCCAAGCAGAATAAAAGATTCTGATTGATTTTTTTGGCAAACTTCACCCAGCCACCAACTCCAACGGGGCAACATTCATGGATTTCTTTTTTCTATCTTCAAATATCTTGCAACGCACATCTCATTACAAACAAGAGTACTGTATATTGTCGATAGTTTCGATATCTGGTACATCACTGTTGCATGGAGCATAGGCAATCCAACTGCTTGACCCGCATTCATAAATTCGCTAATGAAGTGAGGGTTCGCTGTTAACATGGACTGATTCTGTAGTGGTGATTGTAGCAATCGAAGAATGAGATCGGAGTTTCCTGCTTCATCTTCACTGTAAACTAAGGACAAAGCATCAGCCTTAGATTAGAAATGGGTTAAAAGCGGGGAACACAAAACCAGTAACAGAGTAATCAAAATCATATGTCCTCTGTAACATCGATCAATCCCAAGATTTAATAGAGCTTACAAGGAAGGCTATGCACCGACAGCATCTCCTCATGCATTGAATTAAGATCCTTACGATACCTTCTCCATTCCACAGCCCCCGCCCAGAAGAAAAATAAAAAATAAAAACCCTACTAAGTCATGTATTCACCCAAGCTGATCATTAAACCGTAGTGCTAAGACCCAATCACACATTGCCTCATGTAGCGAGCGAATCTTTACCTAATGTTTCAATTTAATTGATTTAAACCCTCAAGGTTGCACATTGTAGCAGTATCAACCGTCCAGTTAATTTTACATTTAAGTCAGTAAAATTAGTAATCACAGGGTCCACATTTATGCCAATCCAAGGGTATTAAATTAAAGATGAATTCCAACCTACAACATTTATAGTGTGCAATAGCTAGGATAGTGCAGCTGTTCTGCTTTAGGTGGGAACACATTTTCAATCTTATTGTACCCTCATATCAGCTTAATCGGTATCAAATTCCTTTGACTTAGCAGGCAATAGACAGTGTCTTTGCTACATGTGCAAATGTTACGGGCAAAGTGGATCATAATAAAATATCAAAGACGAAAGTGAATTATCAAGAACTAAAATGAAAGTTCAAGCTAAACTATACCTAAAAAGAAGCACCCATACCCGGCAGAAAAAAAATGTTGATACTCACACTACATCTATATTAGGAGAAATTCTAGCATATAACGGGTATACACAACGTCCCTCTCACAATAACTGGTCAAGCAATCAGTATGCAAGTGAATTTATTGTGCGATGAACACTGCACACACCTATTCTATGCAAGAAGACCTCCTACACTACTCCTCAACTTAATGTTAAAGGCATCACTCATACACTAACACAGTTTCTGCAAAATTACTAGACAAAACTTATTGGGGACGTACCAAACTAGTCCCAGTGCATGGTAGCTTTAACATCTAGGTATATACATTATGAGAAACATAAGTGACTTGTACATAACAAATGACCGATTGCCAGTACTCAACCAAGGAGATAGTGGGAAAAAAGCATTATAGGAGGAAACTTACGCCGGCTGTTGAGCGCCGGTTTGTTGTACCAGCTGAGAATATACGTACTCATCAACCCTCTGCTGTGCCCGTGCCACCTGGTACACAATCAGAGATTTTAAAAAAAATGAGAAAGTTCATACGTTGTAAAAACAGAAAAGTTTGCAGCATACTTGCTTATCGAACAAGCAACCAGAGCTTTTCCAAATTACAAATTTTAAGCCCATTTCATATAGGGAATTGTTATACGCCCCCAATCTAATAGTATAAATCTTTACATCATAGGAGAAAGAAAAATGAAAAAAAGAAAAACCTAAACCCACCACCCATTTTGACTCAAATATCTCACGATAATATGTAAAGAAAATATTATACACCACTTTGCCAACCTTAAGCATGTTACATCCAATGACGTTTATCAGAATATTGGGTGCTGTTTGTGGTAACCAAATTTCACCGGCCCCATAAGAGACACCATGTGTACTAAAGCAAGCCAATATGACAAAATTATCTCTGGAGTTTCACCAGTACTTAACCCTTACGTGCGTTGAAAACTAATGCAACGGAGGGATGTCTATTAGTACATTACACCCAGCGGAGGTGGTATCTTTGCCAGGACAACATGTTCTTCACGCCAGACAAGATGGACTACCATGAAACGATGCGCTCGGCCACACCCACTCAGCAGAGGATATGAGCTTGGTTAGCCATGTGAGGCCCAATGAAAGATCTTGTGAGCCTAGTTGGACTCACAGGCGAGATTAGCCCATAAGGGATGGATGAGGCAAGATTCAACAAGATCTCCAAGGCAGAGTCATCCTTATGATCATTGCTTAGAGATATGCCACCATCACCAATGTTGTTAGCATTCATCCCATGGTCAACCGTTGTTGGCTAAATAGGTGAGACTACGTTGAGTTCAAACCAATCATTTAGTAATGAAGTATGATCATTTCCATTAAAAGGTAACTATTCCATAGCCTAGAAACATAAAGCTTGAGATTCATTCTTCTGACAATTAAGTCTAACATAGGTGTTGGAACCAAATTTGCACATCGCAGTGAGTGGTGGCTGAGTACAAACTCAAGCAACCTGCAAAACAATAAACAACCGTACGCAAGTTTGAGACAGGGGGGAGGGATGTGTGTCGGCTAAAGGCTCTACAACGGTCAAGTTAGTGAATGATTTTAGACTCAAGTAGTGATCAAGAGAATTGAATGTTTAGATGGCGTTATCATAGATGAACCCTAGATGGGTGTATTTATATCGTGGGAAAGAGACCTTTTTAGGATAGTATTCTTATTCTAAGGCAAGAGAATCCTAGAGGATAACTAGGAGTAGATATTGCATCCTCTTAGGAGTTATGAGTACTTTGCAGCATGCCAATTCCTAGATTGTAGGAACTTCAAGACTTAATACGATCTGATTGAGTCAATATCCGAATCAAATTGTTTGTCTTGCGGAACAGGCATGGTCATCCAGCGGAGCTGTTAGGACTCCACCTATTGCCCAGGAGTAGAGTGATGGTGGCACCGCTACTCTGTCTGATACAACTCTACTTGAAGCTAGGGAGTCCATGACTGGACTTCTGACGTAGCAATATTCAGATTAACCTTAATTTGGCATGGAAAATCATGATCCCATGCCCCTAACTATCCGTTTGAGAAGCAACCCGTTCCCCTTGAGGATTGATTGTTATCCAAAGACTATGCATGTCGGAGGAAGTTGGAATACATACTGTTTGGTCTTCACATTATTGCAAACGTCATAATTTAGTGTTGAATTAGCCATTTACACGAGTCGAACCTAAAATTATCATTTACGAATGAAGAGAAAAATCATTAGATTGTAGTAGTAAATAAGTCGCTCTCATTGAATGTGCAACGAAATGCTAATCAAATGAGATGGGTCTGGCTCAATCTCATATCGACCTTACTGTCCCATAAAGCTCATTTAAGGCCCAAATGTTTTGGTCTACGAAGGGGAAATTAATCGATAGATTTTGGGACTTGTTTCAGCAAACAGGTTGGGGTTTTCGAAACGGAGGCAGATTCTATGCCCTCTCACTTTTCGTGCTTCTTATTTGTGTGGTTACGATTAAGTCACGTCAACATTTTATATTACTATTTCTTTTTATCTTATTATTTTTATAAAAAAAATAATATAAAACCATTTCACTGTGAACAGGCACGAAGTGGGAAAACAGAGAATCTGCCTCCTTTCGAAACGGGTCATTCCAGGACTGTAAATTGCATATGAATGCTTAAACCCCCAAAACCCAAATCCTGCATCTTCTTCTGAGGCTCGTCTGTGCCTCTCAACTGTCGCAGTCTTTCTTCTTCTTTCAGCTTCAAAAGGTTAGAATCTGGGATTCATAAATTGGTTTGGATATTGGAAAATGAGTTGTATGTACCATCAACTTTTAAATCCTTGTGGAATTAAATTGTATAAATATTTGGGCGTTTGATCAGACGTCACAATGGAGAGAAAGGCTTGTGACAGTGACAGTGAGTTCAAGGACGATGGCGATTTCGACAACGATGAGTTGAGTGTTAGTTTGATTTGTAAATTCTGTTATTGGGTTACGGTATTTATTCGGTTTTGTTTTGGTGATTTTGTTGTTAGTTGATTATTTGTGATGTAGATGGAGCAGGAAGAGGGGGGGAGGAGGAAAATGGTGATGGGCAAAACGATAATAATGATGCCGAGATGGAAGAACGCGAGAAAAAATACATCAATCTTCGTCATCAGGAGCAGGAAGAGAGACTCTGTTCACAATCCTTTTATGCTTAATTATAAACCTGTGATGCTTAATTAGAATGAAGATATAGAGCTAAATAATGTGAATATAAGAGATAATATGCATAGCAGTTGGGGGTTAGTGACGAAATTTGATATTAACTTCATACTGCATATGTTCATGTATTGCTTCTCCTAATACATATCCTGTTCTCTAGGTAACTCTGAACAATCTAAGAAGTCACAATCATCTAAGAACATTGACAGTGATGGTGATGTGACGAGGATTGGTCCCGGATTTCTTAGTTGCTGTCGAGGTATAAGAATCATATTCTACTATCTAGATATGCTCTTGTTATATTGAAGCCTATCTATAGAACTGAAATATTGTTTAACATTATTATTCATGCCATACTTCGCTGATCCATTTGGAGCAGCAAACAGAACTTTGGAATTTTGTCGTTTTATTGTTTAAAATTCTTGTAAATGGTGGGTTCAAGTACCTTACTATTATTGCTGTGTTTCAATACCTTAGTGCCTAACTTTTGTTATATTTCAATACATAGTTCTTATCAGTTAATACATCAGGCTATTATGTTATTAAGTTTGTCTCAACTGTTCAATCTGAAATATGCTAGACGATAGTTTTCTGACCTTTAAATTCCATTAGGTACTAAATTAAATTAGTTTGTTATCTAAAGGGGCCAGCAGAGAACCATGAAATTCATTTGTAAATTATACTTGTGAAAAATCTATGTTGCCGTATGTTTACTTTAAGCATACTCTCGGGCAGTTCTATATAAATTCTTTCATGCTCCGATAACTTCTCTTGCATGAATTTTAGGAATTTATTCTACTATGTTCAACTTTTCATTAGTGTGTGCATTTCCATGCGGGTTACTTGGTCTAAACTAAGGCCTGTCACGTTGTATCTTGTAGAATAGCTACTTTCAAAAACAAATTGATAGACAAATGACAGAGGAAGACAGAGGTGACCACAGGCGCTACTGCTATTGAAAGCGAGCTGCATGCTTTTAATCAGGTCTGGCTCTATGATTGAACTTGTAAACATGCCCTTCCCTATGACTGCTTGTGCCATGCTTTGCCAGATATCACTAGGAATTCATTTTTCTTTTTCCAATTGCAGAATATTAGTGAACAACTTGCTTCTTATATAGAAGACCCAAGCAGAATGGTTGGGCAGATGCAGATGTGGAAATTAGCAGTTGCTGTATTTGGCACTGTAAGACATTAATTCTTATATCTAAATTGAAAAAATGAAAATTTCACAGCTCCCAAGGTCTCACGTGCATGCTCAGATACATTTGGGCTTCATATTTTTAACATCATAACAAGATTGGTTTTTTACATTTAGTAATTTAAACACGAGTTATTGATGTGCAGGTTCCTGTGGGGGAGACCACTGCAAAGGGAAAGGTACTTATTGCATATAATTGTGGTTAAATATAATTTTATACTAATCTGAGGTCCCATTTATAAATTCATTGGAATTAAATGTCCCATGGAATTCACAATTTTCCCATGTGCTATTTTAACTCCCAAATGATGTACAAATTCATTGTTTGGGATAGATGCTGTTTATAATTAATTCGATACAACGTCTGAGCAAATTTTGGGTTGGTTGTGGTGTTTGCTTCAATTTTCTTTTTGTATGGCCTCGAGGGCTGTGAGTGTTTTCAGTACACTTCATGCACCATTAGCTTTAATCCTATCTTTTATTTAAAATTTTGATTTGTTTGCCACTTCGATGTGCAACCTGTGAGGTCCGCTTTAATTACCTTGTTGATGTGTTATAAAAGTTATATTTCTATTTGCACAAATTGAGTAATTTTATTCCTTCACTCTGATAGGTGACATAATCTGATGCTGGTGCACAAGTTGATGGTGACCCCGAACTTTTGGATGACTCTGAGTTATACCAGACATTACTGAAGGAATTTTTTGAGACAATTGACCCAGCATCTTCTGGTAAAACTATTAGGGCATCTCATACATGAATGATTGCATTTGAATGTGATATACTAATATGGTTTACCCAATTTATAATATTTCCTGTAGTTCAAAACACATGCAGTCAGATTGCATTTAAAATTTGTGGCTTTTGAAATTCTTAATGATTTTATCCTCCCATGTGATGCCTGGTATCCTCGTTAATGATTTTCAAATAATTTGGACTCGTCTAACCAACTTTAAATAACTAAGTCCGAGTCATGAGGGAAGTTTCATTCAAACAATCTGTATCTGCGTCTATTGATGTCAATGACACTGCATTGTATCAGCAGCTTTTAGTGGGCTTGGAACCTCATCAATCCTGAACTTCTATTGTTTTTTTATTCTAATTTTGCACTATTTGATTATCCACCTCAGAGACAGCCGTTCCTCCTAATGCTTCCTGACAATAATAATTCGGGTTGAAGAAGCAGAAACCTGCTCCGTAGTGTAGTAGCGATGCAAGGCTGAGCCAACTCTATAGTCCTTAGATCTCGGGCTAAGAAATTGTTTGCTGTTTATTTATTTGATATATTATTCAATTTAATCTGTTATACTTATTCACACAATTTTTCAGTGGGAGTCGAATCTTTAAGAAGCATGATTTTGTAGTAAATGACAATTAAGATGGCCGAGTCTTTAAGAAGCATGATTTTGTTGTAAATGACAATAAGATCTGTAACTTTGACATTTATAAGCAAATAGGATGTTTTTGCTTTCCAAGGTGCCGAAATAGTATTGCTAATGCTGGATGTATTTCAGTATTTGATGATGTTGAACACATTTGAGCTATGTAATATTTGATGATGTTGAACACATTGAACTTCAATATCTAATTGCTAGGGTCTTTTATATCTCAAGCGGTTAAGAGCGCTTAGCTGTGAACTCAAAGTTTTGAAGGCAGAAAATATCTTGAAAACAAGGAATGCAAAATATGTCTGTATCAAGTAAAATTGCAAACTCGTGGAGGGCTTATTGATTACGGTCGCTTCTTTTTCTGGGAGATGGATGACCGAACTACTAGAGCAAGCGTGAAAAAGAAGCCAGCAGCTGTGAGGAGCACCTTCCAGCGTCCGAGGCTGCAGTTATTGCTGGCAGGCCTCGTCTTTGCAATTGTGTAATCAGGTTCATCCTCTTGGCCTCCTTCTTTGTCTGAAAAACATACAAATAACATAAAATTTATGTTTTTGAAATGAATACAGACAGACGTGGAAGTGCTTGGATGGAGTATAATTCATTGCAATACAACAATACGACATACCTGTGTCTTCTTTACCAGAGTCCATGATGAGGCGATTCAACCATCTCGACCCATGGAAATTAGTGTTGTCATAAAGTTCTTTAGGGTGACTGCAAAGAAAGTATATTCCCGGTCTATGCTCGAACATGGACAAATCTCCACCGATGACAAATGGATAATCAGGATCTGATTTGGTGTTGTGTTGGGTACTTATCATCATATTATTCTGGTGCTCTTGCACAAGCTCGACACCAAACTCCTTTACCAAAAACAACCAAGGGGTCATTACTGAAACATCCACTTCATCTCCACATTGTAATATTGTTTCAGTCTCCATCCTCCAATGGCTCAACCATATCATATCTTCTTCGTGACCTGGAATTCCATAGAACTCTGGGCCATAGATCCACTTCAGACCCTTACTCTTGTTACTCACTTTAGTCCGTATTGGATGATAAGAATCACAATTATCATTATTAGAATTCTCCTTCTTTGCATAGGTAGCAAAGATGTTTAAGCCTCGAATTCTGTGACTAGCAAGTAGTAAAGGGACAATAAAAGATATCGATGACTTGGTACTTATGTAGCTGAATTGGCCTGGAACCTCATTCCCAGTAAAAAATGTGCTGAATATACCAAATTCGTACAGTCCCTATGTATTTGCCAGTCATCACAACATTACTCAGTCATGTCTAACCATGATATATTTATGACTTATAAGAGAGAGAGGGAGAGAGAGGGAGAGAGAGATGCACCTGGACAGGACTCCATCTATCCTCTTTTGAACCACTGCATCCGAACGGTGAGTTCATTCTAATGGCTGGCAAGGATCCCAAGTTGCACAAGCCCAAAAGTTTGATCATTTCCACATCAACTCTATCAATGGGCTCTAACTTGTAATCGTACTGGCTCTCAACTAGATTCCAGTTGTCACCCACATTCATCATTGCAGCGCATTGCTCAGGGGAACCAAAAGTTTTTTTTTTTAATGATATGCATCCGGCTATAGTTATGCTTTGGTGTAGTTTCGGCAACCCCACAAGTGATTCGAGCCTATTACATCCCTCGAAAGAGAGTTTATCGAGCCTCCTCAAACCTTTGATGAAACCTGGCAAACTGCAAATTGGATTCTCACCTAACTTTAGTCTTCGCAACGAGGATAGACTACTTAAATCCCTACAAAAGGCATCATCAGAAAGATTGCATCCCTTCATACTTAACTTTACTAAAGAGCATGGAAAAGAACTCAAGATAGTTGAACTTCTATCTGGCCACAATTCACTTATTGGAATTTCATCTGTCTCAAGAACTTTCAGAGACTCCATCTTCTTCATCATCTCCACTGGAAACTCATCAAGATTTGAGCAACCAGATAAAATGAGTGTTTCAAGTGATTTAAGCAAACACATGCTCTTTGGAAGGATCCTAAGATTCTTGCAATCCTTCATATTCAAGTACTCAAGTCTCTTCAGGTTTCCAATTGATTCATGAACAACAATCAGGCTGGTGCAATCCACAAGAATCAATTCCTCTAGATTGGGGCAAGGTGAGAAGTCCATGGTTTCACTAAGGGCATGAGAATGGCTAACGTCAAGGATCTTCAACGATGGAAGAAACTGTGGAAACAAATAAAAACAAGCAAACAAAAATATAACTAGGAGTTTATTCCAACATATGAAATTAATTAAAGAATTAAAACCTAAAGAAAAGAAGGAAAACAAATTGAAAAGCATACAGTAACATATGTTTGCTCTTTTGCAGAGTTGTCTCAAGTTGCTATATTGCATTTCAAGAACTACCAATTTCTCCAAAGAAAAATCAACAGGAATTGAATCCAAAGGAAATTCGAGCAAGCACAACCATCTTAACCTTGTCGGAAGTTCTGCATAACATCCGTCCAGTCGTACATGTCTAAGACAAAGCAATTTCAATTTGTGCATCCTTGCAAATGAATTGGTTTCCAAGACACTCTCGTTTGAGTTTATGGGACTGTTTGTAAGCAGTTCATGCATGTCCAGCATAAGACCTTCAATTGCTTGCGTACCCTATAAAAGAAATCGGAAAAACAATTGGTTAATTAGCACAAGAGAAAAACAAACACACACACATACAATGAACATTTCTTACATTCTTTTCTCTTAATACTTCGAAAGAATCCTTAGAGCGCCACAATCTACTACGATTCCCAGGCTCATATGATTCTCGACGAACAATTCCTCGTCCCATGTCACGAATCACGTCATGCATATACAACTTCTTGTCCCTATCAATTGTGACCAAGCACCTATCTATGAGATTTTGAATGCCACGGATTGTATAGAAGTCACATCCATTTAGTATTCTAACAATGTAATCTTCATCCTTTCCAATAAAGAAACAAGCAATATGGAGGAATAATTTCTGGTCATGGTCATCTTGTAAAGAGTCGTAGCTTATTCTCAATGTATTCATGATTTCATCATTTGGAATAACTTCTAACTTCTCCAGTGTACTTTTCCATACACGTTTAGGTTCCCTGAAAAGAGAAGAACCCAAAACTTTGAGAGCTAATGGAAGTCTTCCGCTGTGTTGTGCAACTTGTTCAGAATATTTCTCATAACCTTCAAGGGGATGATCCTGGCCAAAGGCATGCCAGGTTAAGAGGTCCAATGATTCACGGAAACCCAAAGGTCCCACTTCATGCACCGTAATACCTTCATGTGCCTTTAGCAACCTTTTACGCCTAGTTGTTATGATTATTTTACTTCCAAGATAAAACTGATCTTTCATCCTCAGTACTGCATCTAATTGGTCCATATGGTCCACATCATCAAGAACAAGAAGAACTCTTGTAAAGCTTATGGCTCTTCCAATCTTAATTATTCCCTCACTAACACATTGTATTTTCTCTTTTTCCCCCTTTAAAATATCATAAAGAATTTTCTTTTGTATTCGAACTAAGCCGTTCGGTTGACTTGCAGTTTCTCTGATATTTTCAACATAGCTGCTTCCTTCAAAACTTTCACAGTTAGAATTGTAAACACATTTTGCAATGGTTGTTTTCCCTATTCCAGGCAGCCCATAAATAAGAAGTATACCAACATCATGTGATGGATCTTGTAACCATAAATTGATGTGTTCGACTCGAGAATGGATTCCAACCAGTTTTGATTCAACGCTCAAGTGTGTGCGACTTAGCTTATCACGAATCACTTTAACAATATCTTTGATAAACTTTGACTCGTACCTAATAAGAATTTGCAAATAAAATGAAAGATGAATCAAACATGTCGATATCGATCAATTATACGAAGTCTGATCATGATGGAATTCACAGGAGAAAATTATATTAGGGTTCGATCAATAATTCTTAACAGCTATTCCATGCAGCTACATGGTACAGATCATGACAACTTAATTGACCTTAAATGGGATTATTACTGGAGCAATTTGCCTGATGTCATATGAACATTTGTGTTGAGTAAATCAATATTTTGTGATTTTATTGGAGAGGTCAACAACAACAAAGAGAAGACAAAAGAAGAAAATGAAAGTTACCCATAAGCTTGATTTTGTAAAACCTTCCCAGCTAGATTTGCAACCTCTTCAAGTGCCTTCCTCCCATCTCTCCATCATGTCGGGGGGTTCAGTTTTCCGGTGTCTAGCAAATGCCTCGGCAAAGCTTCCCGTCTGCTTCCTCACATGGGACGGATCAACATCGTAGAAGACCTATTGGAGTATAAATGTATTTGATGTGGTAGTTTCATTATAACAAAGTGTAGGATCTAATGTAAACCTTTGGATCATATTCCAATTGGTATTTAGATTAGATTAGATTAGAATGAGTCATAGCTCATGACATGTGCAAGCATCTTACATGATGACTTAGAAATGAATGGTTGTGATGGATTTGTAATGTTGTGAGAGAGTAAAGTTGTTTCTTACTCCTCCAACGTTAAATCATGCTTGTTGAGCTCTTTGCTAATTGAACAAGTTGAATACACTGAAATCTTGAAGAAAGCTCTGCTCTGTGTGTGTGTGTGCATTTTTACTGTTCCATTGAATCTATCAGAAAATCAAACACTAATATGGCCTCAGAGCCAGGTTGGATCTCAATCTGGGCGTGAATCTGTGACAAGGGTTGCAGCTAAGGAACTCGACAGATAATCGAGTTTGCTGCGATTGAAGAACAATCTGAAAATCACTCGGTAACTCGATAACAAGTCTAATATGGCTGGATCGAGTGGTGCTGATCTTCGAGCACCGATTTTCAATGGGGAAAACTTTGATTTCTGGCAGATAAAGATGAAGACTATTTTCAGATCTCACGATCTGTGGGACATGGTTGAAACGGGGTATAATCCTCCAGTGAAGAAAGAAGACGAAGAACTCACTACCGCTGAGCTAAAGCAGCTGAAGGAGAACATGATCAAGGATGCTAAGGCTCTCGGGATTATTCAAGGTTCTGTGTCCGATGAAATTTTCCCACGAATCGCTATTCTGGAAACAGCAAAAGAAGCCTGGGATATACTGAAGCAAGAGTTTATTGGAGATAAACAGGTGAGATCTATGAAACTTCAAAGCTTAAGACGTGATTTTGAATATACTCGAATGGGTGAACATGAATTATTTTCTGTGTATCTTGTGCGTTTGTTTGATCTCATTACGCAAATGAAAAGTTATGGTGAGAGTATTGGAAATCAAAGAATAGTGCAGAAATTATTGATTAGTCTTCCTAGATCCTATGATAGTATTGTAGCTGTGATTGAGAATACACGGGATTTGGAGACAGTTGATGTGCAGGATGTAGTTGCCACTCTAAAAGGGTTTGAGCAAAGAATTGAGAGACACTCTGAAAATAGTACGGAAAAAGCCTTTGCTAGTTTAAGTATAGCTCCCAGGAAGAACAATTACAATGGCAATCAAAGTTTTAAACCCACCAAGAACTGGCAGACAAAGAGTAAGAAATGGGATAACAAATCAGTGCATCATCAAGGAAAATTTACTGGACCTTCTGATAATGTCAAGAATGCTTGTAAGTACTGTGATAAACTTCATTTTGGAGAGTGTTGGTTCAAGGGAAAACCAAGGTGCCATAACTGTGATAAGCCAGGGCATTTTGTTAAGGATTGCAGATCAAAGAAGGTTACTCAACAGGCCAATTATGTCAAACAAGTGGAGAACAATCCAACCATGTTCTATGTGTGTATGGCTGCTGCAGTGAAGAAGGGAGAAGATGTTTGGTATGTTGATAGTGGCTGCAGTAATCACATGACAGGAAGAGAAGATTTACTGGAGAACATTGATAGAAGTGTTACTGCCAAAGTTGAGATGGGCACAGGGGAGTTGGTTAATGTAGTTGGAAAAGGAGAGTTAATGGTTGCAACTAAGCAAGGCAAACGGTACATCAAGGAGATCATGTTAGTACCTGGTTTAAAGGAGAATCTATTGAGCGTGGGATAAATGATGGAGCATGGATATTATCCTGTGTTTGGGGGAATTGAAGTCAGAATTTATGAAGACTTTACATGCTCTAATCTGGTTGTTAAAATTCCTATGAAGGGAAATCGAAGCTTTCCTTTGAAGTTGCAACCAGGAATACAAATGGCTATGAGGGCAAGTGTTAAACAAGCAGCTGAGATATGGCATAGAAGACTCGGGCATCTAAATATGAAAGCTTTCATGCAACTTCAAGAGCAGGACATGGTGACTGGTTTACCTGAGCTCAGAATGAATTCCACAGTATGTGAGGGATGTGCTATTGGAAAGCATTCTAGAGATGCTTTTCCTAAAGAAACAAATTGGAGAGCTGCACTACCATTGGAGTTAATACATACTGATATATGTGGACCAATGCAAACACTTACCAAAGCTGGAAACAAGTATTTCATCACTTTCACAGAAGATTGTACCAGAATGGGATGGGTCTATTTTCTGAGAAACAAGTCTGAAGCATTTGGCATATTTAAAAGGTTCAAGGCAACTGTTGAATTACAAAGTGGATTCAAAGTGAAGAAATTAAGGAGTGACAGGGGAGGGGAGTATACTTCTCTGGAATTCTCTCAGTATTGTGAAGATCTTGGCCTAGAAAGACAACTCACAGTGGCCTATTCTCCTCAACAGAATGGTGTTGCTGAGAGAAGAAATAGGACCATTGTAGAAATGGCTAAATGCATGATGTTGGAGAAAGGGATTCCATTTGAATTTTGGGCAGAAGCAGTTAACACTGCAGTCTACATTCTCAATAGATGTCCTACCAAGGTGTTGCATAAGAAGACTCCATTTGAAGCTTACAGTGGACGAAAGCCTGGAGTAAAACACTTAAAAGTGTTTGGATCCTTATGTTATGCACAGGTTCCATCACAGATAAGGCAGAAACTGGATGCAACAAGTGTAATGTGCATATTCCTTGGCTATGGAACGTGTGAAAAAGGTTACAGGTTGTTCAATCCTAAAACTAACAAGGTTGTTATTTCTAGAGATGTAATCTTTGATGAGAACTCTTGTTGGGATTGGAAATCTGGTAATAAGAAGACTATGTCCATCTCAGTTCCAAGTGATGTTGATGGAAGCAAAGAGAATGAGGCTGAAGCTGTTGAAGATGATGCAGTATTTGAATGCACAGAATTACTACAGGAACAACATGAGCAAGTTATTGCTTCTTCTTCAAGACAAGAAGAGCAAATGGATCATACCAGTTCACAAATGTATGATCATACTCCATTAAGGTTCAGAAGCTTAAATGAAGTTTATGAAAGGTGCAATTTCTATGTGATAGAACCTGAATGTTTTGAAGAAGCATCAGGAGATGAGGCTTGGAGAAAAGCTATGTCCACAGAGATTGAGATGATCGAAAAGAATGACACATGACATGAAAAGGAGTTGGTCAAAAGGCCATTTGATAAACCTGTAATTGGTGTAAAATGGGTTTACAAAACAAAACTTAATCTGGATGGTTCAGTGCAGAAGAACAAGGCACGGCTAGTGGCTAAGGGTTATTCTCAAAAGCCCGGAGTGGACTTCAACGAGACCTTTGCACCTGTGGCAAGGCTTGACACCATTAGAACTCTAATTGCATTGGCAGCTCAAAAGGAATGGAAGTTGTTTCAATTGGATGTTAAGTCTGCATTCCTAAATGGTACACTGCATGAGGAAGTATATGTGGATCAACCACAGGGATTTGAAGTTCAAGGACAAGAAGATAAGGTCTACAAGTTGAAAAAGGCTTTATACGGTCTGAAACAAGCTCCCAGAGCTTGGTATGATGAGATAGACAATTATTTCAATCGATCTGGTTTTGAGAAAAGTCAAAGTGAAGCTACTTTGTATACAAAGTTCAGTGATGCAGGTGTGCTTATTGTATCTCTGTATGTAGATGACATTATCTACACAGGGAATTCTGATGAAATGATTCAAGAATTTAAGAAGGATATGATGAAGCAATATGAGATGTCAGATCTGGGATTGTTACATCACTTCCTTGGTCTGGGCATAATTCAAACAGATAAGAGTATATTTATTCATCAGAAGAAATATGCCAAGTCACTACTTGAGAAATTTGGATTGAAAGAATGTAAAGCAGTAAAAACACCACTTGCAGTTGATGACAAGTTAGCTAAGGAAGATGGAAGTGAGGATGCTAATGAAAGTTTGTACAGGACAGTGGTTGGTAGTCTGTTATACCTGACAGCTACTAGACCTGATCTAATGTATGCATCATGTTTGCTGGCAAGGTTCATGCACAAACCTACTAGGAAACACATGGGGACAGCTAAAAGAGTCTTGAGATATGTGCAAGGCACATTGGATTTTGGAATCGAATATGTGAAAGGAAAAGTTGATGTGTTGATAGGCTACTATGATAGTGATTGGGCAGGAAGCTTGGATGACATGAAGAGAACCTCAGGCTATGCATTTAGTTTAGGTTCAGGAGTGTTTTCTTGGGCTTCTGTTAAACAATGCAGTGTGGCTTTATCTACTGCAGAGGCCGAGTATGTAAGTGCTGCAGAAGCTACAACACAAGCAATGTGGTTGAGGTTTGTTTTATCTGATTTTGGAGAAGAACAAGTGGAGGCTACACCTTTGTTGTGTGACAACACTTCTGCCATAGCCATGTCTAAGAATCCAGTGTTTCATCATAAAACCAGGCATATTAATCGGAGGTATCATTTCATAAGAGATGCCATTCAAGACGGGACAATTGAACTGCATTATTGCAGCACAGAGGAGCAGTTGGCAGACATCTTTACCAAGGCTCTTCCTAAGGATCGATTCGAATACTTGAGGACTGCTCTTGGTGTGAAATCAGCAAAACATTTAGAAGGGAGTATTGGAGTATAAATGTATTTGTTGTGGTAGTTTCATTATAACAAAGTGTAGGATCTAATGTAAACCTTTGGATCATATTCCAATTGGTATTTAGATTAGATTAGATTAGAATGAGTCATAGCTCATGACATGTGCAAGCATCTTACATGATGACTTAGAAATGAATGGTTGTGATGGATTTGTAATGTTGTGAGAGAGTAAAGTTGTTTCTTACTCCTCCAACGTTAAATCATGCTTGTTGAGCTCTTTGCTAATTGAACAAGTTGAATACACTGAAATCTTGAAGAAAGCTCTGCTCTCTGTGTGTGTGTGCATTTTTACTGTTCCATTGAATCTATCAGAAAATCAAACACTAATAAGACCGGTATAACCACATGGTCCGAGCTAGTCCTCTTGTGGTCAACGATCTCGACAAGCTCGTTAAGGCACCATCTGGATGACGCGTAATCTTTCGAAAACACAATGACAGAAGTTCGGGACATTTGGATTGCTTGCTTCAGTCCCCACTTGATACCTTCTCTCGTCTCGAGTTCATCGTCGTCTCGAAATGTGCGATATCCCGCGCTTTTCAAAGCTGTGTAGAGGTGGTCGGTAAACGTCTTGCGAGTGTCTTCACCTCTAAAGCTCAAGAACACGTCGTAATGATAACCCCGACGACTGTTGGAATAAGAGGAAGTTACTTGAGTTGTTCTCACAAGATCCATTGATGTGGATCGGTGGACAAACAAAAAAACTGGTCTTTGTTAGGTGCAATGCAAATGTCTGTGTGCAGGGGGGATATTTAATTAGGTCGTTCCTATCAACTTCCAGGAAAATTAACAAACAATTATAAAATGGGTCTTTCCCATGTATTGACCTAAAAAGCAAGGTTCCAAAAAACGCTAGGCGCTAGTCGGGCGGGGGGCTAGCGCCTAGCGCCTAGGCGCCTAGGCGGATTTAGGTAAATTTTTTGTATATCTTGTAAATAAGTAGATATTGACACCTAAAAAAAACTATACTTGTATGGATAATAAAATAATGATAAAATGCAAATTAGGTACACTATTTCCATAAGTATTGGATGAACTTGTAGTAAATTCATCATTTGCAAATTAGATACACCATTTCCATAAGTATACCACCATAAAACCAAAAAAGAAAAAAGCACGCAATTAATAAAAAATAAAATTAAAAAAAAAAAAAACCTCCTAGGACCGCCTAGGACCGCCTAGCCCGCCTAACCCGCCTAGCCGCCCAGCCCGCCTAGACCGCCTAGGCGCCGCCTAGGCCCAACCAGATTTTTCCTCCCGATTTGCCCAAAAACAACTCGGTTGCTAGGCGCCCAGCGCCTAGGCGGCCGCCTAGGCCGTTTTTTAGAACACTGCTAAAAAGTGTTTCTTTATGTCATGGCCGGCCACTAGTGGCAGAGATGAAAAGAAAAAGAAAAGAGTACTTGTTTCATATGTGATTTTATAAATTATAATTTATATTGATCGTTGCTCATTTTTGGTGATAAAATAAATTTCTGATTGCAGCAAGATTTTTTGTGATAAAATACAGCATGTTTTCATCGATGCTCCATACTCATTTCTTGTTTTTGAAATGTTGGAGGTATTTATACCAATAAACCCACCAACTAGTGTTTCCAATATCACCATCTCGAAGGTTTATGTATTAAACTGCAAGATTGGTTGTTCCAAACATGATGCGGTTATGAGAAATCACTTGCCGGCAGTGGCATCTCTATATTCGAATCTTGGAGAATCCCAATGTAAAAATTCAAGTTTTTTAGGTAGAAACAAAGCAAGCGCAAAGAGCGCAAAAAATTATTTCATTTTGTTCATTGAGGCATATTTCGTCGAACATTTGATAGGATTATTGTCCTTAGCCAAATCATATTGCGCACAATTAGGGTTTTTAAATATTTTCTTTTGTTAATGTTTGAGCTACACGTTAAGGATCTTGTTGCAACATATTTTACACATATATACGAAATGTATAAAGTGGTGAGAAATGTATATAAGACCTAATATTTATAAGGTTCGGCAAATTGTGCCAATATCCTTGGGGTAGCAATACTGGTTTCTCATCATACGATATATAACTTACAATGTCAGAAACAAGGGAAATTGGGAGCAATTTGCTCTTTTTCCTTCCTTCTTTTTTGGCCTCTCACTCCCATTTATAAGAAAATGGGTAACCGTTAGTAAACTGAATGATGAAGGTGACTTTCCTCGTTTTTTTTTTCTTTTTTTTTTTCACTTTTCCCACTTTCCTTCTACTCTACGAAGCTTTCTTTGTCCTTTTCTTTTTTTCTTAAGAAAACTAATGAAAAATACTTCAAATCTTTACATTTTAATCAAAAATCATCCATAAACTTTATTTAATAATAAAGACAAAAGACTAATAAAAAAATAAAAAATAATAAAAACTAACACCGAAGAAGAGTTTTTGATAATCTTTACAATCGAAAGCCTTGACTCTCGAATCGCTGTAAGGAGCTTGGAAAGGTGGTCGCCTTTTCTGAGCTCTTCAACATCAATAAAGGTGTTGATTGGTTTCTGACACAAAGCTCGATAAAGATGGCTGACGAAGCCCCTGCGAGTGTCTTCCCCTCTGAAATTAATGAACACATCTATTTCCAACAAAGACTAGAGGAGGGGGAGGAGGAGGAAGAAGAAGAGATGTTGATTGTTTTCTGACGCAGAGCTTTGTAGTGATGGCTGACAAAGTCCCTAAACCATTAATCGCACCTGGTCGGCGATGATCGAGCAGCTAAGAGTAGGAGGAATGTAAGAACAAAAATTCTCAATTGATCTACACACTGGATCACCAGGTCTGATCGATACCAAGTCAATGAGTCAATGCAAAAGGGAGAAAGGAAATTATGCTTTATGTGTTTTCACATCGTCTTCAAGGAAATTTCGGTGTGAAAAGGAGTGTGCATATGAGTGGGTACAATGAAAGAGAATTTAAGAAAATAAATTATGCTTTATGTGCTTTCACATCTTCTTCCCGTTTGCGGCATATGAGTGGGTACCAGAAAAGAGAAAAAGAAGTCTTTTTCTTTGATTTAATATATTTATGTGAAAAGAATTTTCATAAATAGTGTCATAAATTTCATAAACAGTATCATATGTTTCGTAAATAGTATTATAAGTTTCATAAACAATGTCATAAGTTTCATAAACAATGTAGTAAGTTTTATAAACAGTGTACCATGAGTATGCGCATTAGAATTTTTATCCTTTTTATTAAAATTATGTCGTTTTCATTAAAATTTAAGTTCTTTTATCCTTCTTATTAAATTTAAGGGTTTTTCATTAAAAAAATTCATAAAAATTTAAGTTTTTTTAATTAAATAAGGTTATAGCATGATTTTTTATTAAAATAAACTTAGTCCAAACCTTTTTCATGAAAGTTCCCATTTTTCTTCTCTTCACTTCTCCTTTTGTTCTTTTCTCCTTTTGTTCTTTTCTTCTTTTCCCTTCTCTTTTTCCCTTCTCCTTTTCTTCTTTTCCCTTATGCTTTTCTCTATTCTCCAAAATTTCCTATCATTTTCCCCCTCCTTTTCTAATTTGCCCTTCTCCTTTTCCTTCTCTCTACTCTCCAGGAGTTTCTTTCTCATTTTCCCTGCCCTTTGACTTCATTGTATTTGGGCTAAGATGTGAACCTATTATTACACTGTTTTAGAGATGTGTATATTGTGGTCCCACATCTATTTTTGAAAGAATTAGCTTTTGATCTATTAGACCAACTCCAACCCTAGGCCCAAACCCAAATATTTGGGTTTAAACTCAAAAATTGCCACCCAAAGCTAAGACTCAAACCTAAAAAATTTGGGTTTGGACCCGAATCAAAATCTAAATTTGGGTTCAAATGTGGCTGATCTAAGAGTTAGTGGTTGACAACTGGGGCTCGCGTGGTAGGGACCCCATATGTCCAACTGTAAGTGTAGCCTATAGGCCTTTCGATTGTTGGGCCGTTGGTTATCAACGGTCTAGATGAAACTCCTTTTTTTGGGCAATTCGTTGAAATTGATCGAATGATCCGTATTACTTGATTTGTATATTGAAGTTTGGTTGGTTAATGTGTATATTGAAGGTTGGTTGGTTGAGTGGTTGGTAAGTGTGATTTGTTATGTTATGGAAATTTTGTCGGAATTTATATTTTTTTAGGTTAAAACATTCATAAAATTAAATTAAGATAACATAACTCAAAGCTAAAAAAAAAATCCTTAGTGGAAATAACAATTAGTGTTAAAACCATTCCAGAACAATTAATACATTCTAAGTCTTGAAACTTAGGTCTGGAGGGTTGGGTGACGTTCACTATTCCTAGAGCTAAAATTTGTCTTTTACTGGACCTAAATATTTGAGTTCGGGGTCCAAGGGTTGGAGTAGGTCTTAACACTTATCTTTTCAATTTTGGTAGAGATCTTCAATTTCAATTTCACATTTTGTTACTAATAAAAGAATAAAATACTATTTCAAACTAGGTCAAATATTAGGAGAGGACATGTAAAAAGTATGGGGGTTGATACTAGGAGACAACATAATGTAAAGATATACGCGGTTGAATATATCAGTAAAAACAGAAACCTCCACTCAAATTCTAGTGATGATCGATAAATTGGGTCAAAAAGTTTTCTAATTTTACTTGTTTGCTAAAAAGAATTATATTAAAATATTACATTAAGAAAGCCTCATTCATTCTCGTCTTAAGCATCAATTTGCATAAGGATGACTTTGGTCGTATTTATAGCGTAAGGTCATCTCCAACCGAATGGTCCAAAATGTCAGAGAACCGAAAATAGTCCGAAACTATCTCCAACTGAGGGTTAGACCAAATGTCTCATGGGCCCCACGAGATAAAAAAGAACCAAAGGACCCCGGCCGGCCCAACCCAGCCAGCCAGCCCGCCCCGGGCCAGGCCACAATTTCAATGCAACAGTAAGTAGCTGACGTTAGCTAGCCGTTATATTTGATTTCTTTTTTTATTTTACAGTTTTTTTTTAACAAAATTTGTTTATAAAAATTTAAAAATTCTATTTTTTTTCGTTAACTTTCCTAAACCATTAAACAACATTAAATAACACTAAGTAACATGAAACAATATTAAACAACATTAAATAACATTCTCATTTTTTCCTAAAAATTTAAGTTGTTGTAGTTTTTAAATTTAATTTGTAGTTTTTAAATTTAAGTTGTAGATTTTAAATTTAAATAATAAATTATGTTTGATCCTATGGTCCCCTCAGTTGGAGATGGTTTTTTGTCACAGGACTATATTTGGTCGGTGGCCCTCTGGCCCCTCGATTGGAGATGGTAAGAAATATGACATTGCACTGTTCATTAAAATATTAATTTCTTTGAGGGCTATAGGGCTAAAACGAACCCTCTGACCCTCCTTCAGTTGGAGATGGCCTAAGGAGTTATAGACAAAGATGTACAATGTTGGAACAACTCTTTCCTTTTCTATTTTCTATTTTCTTTTAGCATCATTTACATCACCTATGTCATCTCACAATTTAACGTCAATTATCATGTCAACATTATAAAACATTGTACGAAAAACATGATGTGACAAAAAGTTTTTTGAGTCTCACTAGCATTTCTCATATAAAAATATTGAGGGAAATTTGGCAGCGCCTTACAAGTTCGAGGGGAAAAATTTAGAAATAAGCCTAAAATCAAAGAGTAGTTATTTGATCTAAAATAATTGA